GCACCTGGCCTTTCATTTTAAGAGCTACCGCATCCTAATCGGTGCAGATCTATTTCATACTCGGGGAAACTCAAACTTGGATATGATTTATTTCCTCATCATTTCGGATCAGCAACAGAAGTGTGGAGTTCCAGTTTCCTCCACAGTGGGGGTGAGGAAGAGTGACTTCGTATCCACCGGCGCTTTGCCAGCAATCGCAGCCCACCTAAAGAGAGGTGTGGGTCACACCTGGCTCTCTCAGCCCTGCTTGCCAGTGTCCCCACACGTGGGAGTTAAACTCTGGTTCCCGATCTTTCCCTGCCTGACCTGCCACCAGTACCATGACCTTTCTCATTGCCAAGCAGCGCAGATCCCACCGGAGTTCACGTTCCTCCTACCTGTCTACCAGCTTCTTGGCGAAGCCGAAGTCCGTGAGCTTGATATGGCCATCCCTATCCAGCAGGATATTCTCCGGCTTCAAATCCCTGTAGACGATCTCCTTGGAGTGCAGGTACTCGATGGCACAGATGATCTCTGCTGAGTAGAAGAGCCCCGTGGTGCTGGAGAAGCGGCCCCGGTTGCGCAGGTAGCTGAAGAGCTCGCCGCCCGGCACGTACTCCATGAGCATGTAGAGGAAGCGCTCGTCATGCCACGTCCAGAACCTGTGGGGACAGCACACGCTCAGGGCTCCGCCAGGGCAGGGCAGAGCGCACGCCTCTGGCTGGGTGTCAGCACACACTCAGGGCCCCTCCAGGGCAGGGCAGGGTAGGGGGTACACTGTGAGGTACATGTTGGGATACAGGTACAGGTAGACGCCAAGATGTGTGTACAGACACAGTAATAGCTCGGGACACATGTCAGGACATGGAGCACACAGATATCAGCACACGGGTAATGGCAGATGTTAACATACAGGTATACACAGGGGTCAGAATGCACGCACACATAGATGTTACAATGTGCTTAGAGAAAGATGTTAGGACATGGGTGGAGATGGGGGCTGATACACAGGTGTAAACAGTGTTACAACATGGTATTGAATATGAATACAGATATGTTAGCATATGTGTGTGGAAAGATGTTCATATGTAGTTATAGAAAGATGGTAGGATATAGGTGTAGATGGTTGTTAGGATATGGGTGTAGATGGGTGTAGACAGGTGTTAATATATGGGTGTAGATGGTTGTTAGGATATGGGTATAGATGGATGTAGAAAGGTGTTAATATATGGGTGTAGATGGATGTAGACAGGTGTTAATATATGGGTGTAGATGGATGTTAGGATATGGGTGTAGACAGATGTTAATATACACGTAAAGATGGCTGTTAGAATATGAATGTAGATAGACATTCTCATAGTGGTATAGAGAGATGTTAGGATATGGATGTAGACTGGTGTTGCTCTGTGGGTGCAGATAGATATTAAGATATGGTTGTAGGCAGATGTTGATATACAGGTGTAGACGCTAATATATGCGTTAGATGGTCAGCTGTGCATACAGACAGATGTTAGGCTATGCGTGTGCATAGCTGTTACTCTGTGGGTACAGGCAGGTGCTGAGGTCTGCATATAGCCAGATGGTAATCCATCAGTACAGGTAGATGCTAAGACACGTGTAGATGTTAAGATAGGTGTATTATCAGGTATTAGGATAAGCATATAGATGGATATTAAAATATGAATTACATAGATGTTACACAGATGTCGCATTAGTCCATTCTGGCTGCTATCACAAAAATACCATATACTAGGGGGCCTGACAAACAGGAAACACATATTCCTCTCACTTCTGGAGGCTGGAAGACCAAGGTCGGGGTGCCTGCTGATGAACTGCGTGGGGAGGGCGCATTCCTGAGGGAAGGGGAGTCCTCGCGGTGTCCTCCCATGGACCAGGGGAACAAGCTCCCTCGGCCCCTTCACCGAGGGCACTAGTCTCGTTCGCCAGCTTCACCCTCATGATCTCATCGCTTCCCCCAAGCCTCCACCTTTTAATTCCATAGCTTTGGGGGTTACTGTCTCAATATATGAATTTGGAAGGGACACATTCAGACAACAACAGATGTTACAGTATGTGTATCCTGGGAAATGGATAAAGGTCTCATTGTCTTGGAATGAATGAAGAGTAAATATCATGGTCTCGCAATAAACCAGCTAACAGGGTGCTATGGGCGGAACTATGTCCTCCAATATTCATATGCAGAAGTCCAAACCCTCAGGATCTCAGAATGTGACTGCATTTGGAGACGGGCCATATAAAGAGGTGAGTAAGGTAAAATGTGGTCACTAGAATGGGCCCTAGTCCAACAGGACTGGAGTCCTTCTGAGAGGAGGAGAGGAGGACACAGACACACACAGAGGGACAACCACATGAGGACACAGGAAGACAGCATCTACAGGCCAAGGAGAGAGGCCTCAGGAGGCCCTGGCCCTGTCAATACGTTCTTCTCAAAATTGTAGCCTCAAGAATTGTAAAAAAAATAAATGTTGTTTAACTTACCCAGTCTATGCTGTTATGGCAGCCCTAACTAGCTAACCTACAACACACAGATCAGAGATCACACCCGATTCAGTAACCTGGAACTAACTGTCACTAAGCCCGGGAATTAACAATAAACTAGCAGACTGCATCCCAAACCTGCTGGGAAAAGGCAGCCATTTTAAAACGCCCCAAATGAGGTACTCCTAAGCACTTGCTTGTGGGAGCTTGCCCGAGGTGCTTCTCCTTACAGAGGTGTTGATTAATAGAAGAAAACGCAGTAATGAGACCGAGGAAGAGGGAGGGGCAGGGAGGAAAGAAGGAGCACAAGATACTGGAGTGGTTCTGTGCATTCAACATCCCAGTACATTATAAATACAGTTTGCAGAGATACGCACTGATGATGAGTGTTTTCACCTAAAGATGTCAGGGGAAAGAGGCAAGATTTGGAACTAAGAGCCTTGGATTTTTTGCTCGTTTGGGGTGTGTGTTTGTTTGCTTGTTTTTGAGACAGAGTTTTGCTCGTTGCCCAGACTGGAATGCAATGGTGCAATCCCGGCTCACTGCAACCTTTGCCTCCCGGGTTCAAGCAATTCTTTTGCCTCAGCCTCCCGAGTAGCTGGGACTACAGGCATGCGCCACCATGCCCAGCTAATTTTTGTATTTTTAGTAGAGACAGGCTTCACCATGTTGGCCAGGCTGGTCTCGAACTCCTGACTGCAGGTGATCCACCTATCTCGGCCTCCCAAAGTGCTAGGATTACACGTTAGCCCCGATGCCCGACCTGTTTGTTTTTAAAACAAGTTATTCTTCTGCCTGCCAGGCCAGAGTGCAGTGGTTCCATCACGGCTCATGTAGCCTCAACTTCCTGGGTTCAAGCAATCCTCCCACCTCAGCCTCCCAAGACTATGGATGCATGCCACCACACCTGGCTAATTTTTTTTTAATTACTATTACTATTATTTGTAGAGATGGAGTCTCACTGTGTTGCCCAGTCTAGTCTTGAACTCCAGGGCTCAATCAATCCTCCTGCCTCGTCCTCCCAAAGTGCTGGGATTACAAACATGAGTCATTGTACCTGACCTGGGCTCTGTTTTTGGAGAGGACTTAGAAGATGCCAGCAAGCCCGTGTTTCCATGAGTGTATAGCCTTCACCAGGAGAAGGCACCCAGCAGAATCAGGAGCATAAAGGTCCTTAACCGTGACCAGGACGCGTGCCTGTTATGTCTCATCTGATCATGATGCTATCACAGATGCTCCCTTGCAAGCTCGTTCCAATGAGCTGCACCGTGCTGGTACATAAAGGAAACAAGGCAATGCCCAGGAAACCTTCCCTGCAGACAGGGAGGGACGCTCAAGGTCGACCAGATGGTGCTGTCTGCTAGCACGGGCCATTCCACCAAAACAACGCAGAATGAAGGCAAGGACGTGAGAGACAGCTTGCAATGACAGAGATTAATGCTAAGAAAAGTCTTAGGCTGGGCACAGCAGCTCAATGCCTGTCAAGCCAGCGCTTTGAGAAGCCAAGGCAGGAGGATCACTTGAGGCCAGGTGTTTGAAAGCAGCATGAGTAACATAGCAAGATCCTGTCTCTACAACAAAAGAATCAGCCAGGCATGGTGGCATACCAGCAATTCAGGAGGCTGAGGTGGGAGGATTGCTTGGGTCCAGGAGTTGGAGGCTGCAGTGAGCTATGATCACACCACTGCATTCCAACCTGGGTGACAGAGTAAGACCCCATTTCTAAAAGAAAAAAAAATGGACAACATGCTACTATGAGTTTTAAATAAGCATTTATTTGACTAATCACAATGTTTATATGTATCAGCAAAATATGGAACTCTTATATAAAAGGCTCTTAACCTAATGCACTTTTCAATTTGCAGCTTCTGCAATGCTGCTAGCTTGGGAGAGTAATGACCCAGAAGCGCAGGCTGTAGGAATGCTTCCCCTCTCCACCCCGAGCTGGGGCCCGCCCTCCGCAGCTGGGTGGCTGAAGGGAGCTCAGGAGGCTCAGGCTGACACTTCTTTTTCTCTCAGTTACTGAAGGCTGCGCACCTGTGTCCCACCTCACCACTGACTTCTGACAGCTCAGCAAGCTTAAAATGTGTGGTCTTAAGGCATAAAGGATGCAGGGAGAGTGCATGGGGGGGAGAGGATTTGGTTGGAGTGGTTTTTTTTTGTCTGTTTCTTTTTTGGTTTTGAGACAGAGTCTTGTTCTGTCACCCAGGCTGGAATGCAATGGTGCGATCTTGGCTCACTGCAACCTCTGCCTCCCAGGTTCAAGTGCCTGTCCTGCCTCAGCCTCCCAAGAAGCTGGGATTACAGGCACCTGCCACCACAGGCGTTCTGGTTGTTTTCTATGTAGTGGTTGTTTTCTAGAGCAACCTGTTGGTGTTCTAAAGACCTACCACATACCCACCTCCTTCCACCTCACAGTTGCATCTCTAGTCATTTTCTTGCAGCTAAATGCCCTACTTTTCTGCTTTGCACCATTCCTGGTGGGCAAGAGTGTTCGTCTCAGTCATATTTCATGATATGCGCATGGTCTCTCAAAT